GAAAATGTTCAGGAAGTGAAAGAAATTGTGTTGAAAAATCGTCGAATCACGATTAGAGAAATAGCTGATGATCTTAACATATCGTTTGGCTCATGCCAATCAATTTTAACGGATGTTTTGGGTATGACACGTGTGTCAGCGAAATTCGTTCCAAAACTGCGTTCCAAAACGTCGTTACTAGTGAGTAGTTTTTTGGCCAAAAACAATACTATCATCATGCCTCAGCCACCGTATTCACCAGACTTGGCCCCCTGCGACTTTTTCCTCTTCCCAAAATTGAAAAGGCCCACGAAAGGACGAAGATTTGCGACGATTGAGGAGATTAAGGCTGCATCGCTGGAGGAGCTCAAGGCAATACCCAAAAGTGCATTTCAGAAGTGTTTTGACGACTGGAAAAAGCGCTGGCACAAGTGCATTGTATTAGAGGGGGATTATTTTGAAGGGGATAACATAATTTTGGATGAATAAATGAATTTTTTTTTTGATAAAAATGAAAAGTTACCTTACTTTTTGATCACACCTCGTATATCCCGTTCATCCTTCTTTTACACACGCTGGCTTAACAATTCGAGAATTGTTGAATAAAATATTTGCCAAGAATCTGTGATGGCTTTTTCATCAGTTGTTCTTTTTTATATACTTAATCGTTAATAGAATTTGTTGTATGTTGTTATTGAACATCTAATTAATAGTTATGAAATTATAGATCAGGATGCAAAAATTATAAATGAAGACAATCGAAAGAATATGGAAGTACAAACTGAACAACTATCAGTTTCGATAAGAAAATATAAACTGATTGCAAATTGTCTAAAAATTCACTAAGAAAATAATACTGAAAAAGAAAATCCACTTATTACATAAAAAATTGCAGAAAGTTAAGAAGTAATTAATTCAATAGAAAGCAAGTTATACAAAGAGAAAGAAGAAGCTCTCTGTTTCAGAAGCGACTGATCAACTTTTACCGTCTATTATTTTATACGTAACTAAGCTATTGTATCCAACTGAGTCCAACTGCCGAACTAATCGAACTAATCGACGGGCTCGGTTTTCGCCCTGTTTATATAGGCATCAGTCGGTGGCGCTCGTGAGTCGGGAAGAAAGGGTATCTCAAATTTCCTGGAATTGGTAATAAGTGCTGAATTTGGAAAATGATTTTTCCTATCCAAATATTAGTCACATCGGGCTGAAATTCGGCACGGTTGCCATTAATTCAATGTAGAACTGACAGATCAAATTGGGTTCGCGTTAATTAATGGAATTTTAAAGTAATTAGCAAATTAAATTTCGGGCTTTTCTCCGCGATGTTCCTTCCCTGACTCTCGATTGGTCGGCGCTCCCTAACGGGACAAATTCGCGTTTACTTATCTGTTTCAACTAATTAAGGCGGTCACAATAACCAAAAAATAGTAAATTAAACCAAAAATATTAAACATAACGCTAGATTTCGAAGTTAACAATATTTCCAGAGCGGCTAAAATCTCATTAAGGATTCGGAGCGACGAGCGACATGCGCGTCGCCAACCGTGATTGGTGCGCGATAACATATTCTTATTTTGAGAGATTACAGATGTTGAGGTATTTCGGTCGGGTTAGTTTTTTTTAAACCTTGTGTAAGGTGACATGACAGTTCCAACATATGAGAACGATTTCTTAACTCCGCGTGGAGTTATCCTGCCTGGAATTTCATCGCAATACATTGACACGCGACATATACGGGTGCTTTGATTGGCCTCATGGGTGCTTTGATAGGCTCGCGCGACATACGTGTCACGCGGTGTCGGCATGACAGAATCATACTACGCCTGATAAGTTTCTCGCTAGGAATATCCACAATTAATTAACAGAAATATCTTAGATAAATGACGTGAAATTAAATAACAATAAAATAAAGGAAATAATTCAGCGCGAAACGAAAAGAAAAAAAAAAAGAAGAGAGTAAAATTATATTTCTACGGAGGGCAGAGGACGTAACAATCGTTAAAAAATTTATTGAACTTTATGAGCAAGTTGAATTTATTCCTCCTTGCACGCAATTTCACGAGATTATTTAATAAAACTTTTTGCTAGAGTATGATTATATTTTACATTGAAGTTTATTAATAGGCGATTCAAGTCACAATCATAAAAAAATTGTTATTTTACGTTATAATTGAAAGATATTTCATTTGCATTAAGACTTAGCTCTTCCGAAACGGACTATAAACAAGAATTAATTACTTACAAAATAAAGTTTTTATTTTTTAATTCTCGTATATCATTTTTCTTTCCTATCACCACAAGAGAGCCGAACCTTAATATTATATAATATAAAGATGTAATATAAAGATATGTTTTGTTATGTTTTTATAATATTATCAACCCAAAATATGTTTTTATTATGTGAAAGTATATACAACATAAATAAACTTATGATTAATAAAAATAAATTATAACTATGTGCATTAATTGTTGCATATTTCTATATTCTTTCAGTTGCTAATTTGAAAAGAATGTAATCCTAATCAGAAAAAAATGGTAATCTATGGATGTGTCCATTCATCTGTTATTAAATCTATATTATTTAATCTATGTTTACATTATACACTACAGATTTTCTTAATCTCCCAGATATCAGAGAATTAAAACAGAATTCAAAAAGAATTCAGTTATATCATCAATTTAGAATTCATTTTCAGACATAAAAAGAGTTCTTTTTCTAAACCATTCTAAAAAGAATTCTTTTTGCTAAAAATGAATACTGAGCTTTTATTATTAAAAAATTAATAACATTAACTTTGGTTAAACATTATTTTTTTATTTATTAATATATTAATAAATAAAAAACAATGTTTAATCAAAATTTTTAATAAAATTTACGTTTATAAATTACAATGTAATACATTTAAGCAACAATATATCCCCCTCCC